CAACCTAACGTGTTGTAGACGTGGTGACTTTTGTTTTCCCAAAAAAAGAAGAAGATAAATTAAAGATAGAAAATATATATGTGGAGCCAAAGCTATTAAGAAGTGAAAATCATAGTAACTGACCCATAATATAATGTCCTCATAATAACTTTGAATAAACAACTTTAATATTGGTGTTACGTCTTAGTCAACTTTATTTGTAGTACTATGCTCTGATCCACTTCAAAATATATATGTTATTTTAGTAAAATTGTGTGTAAGCACAGACTCAATATTTGTTACGTTATTCATCTCAATTTATATGGTATGTATGATATTAGGAGAGTTCTCAAATGTTTTGTATGATTTTGAAAAAAATTATATTGTTAAGTATTGTGATTTATAGTACTTTTAGTGTAATTTTTGAAATAATATATGTTATTATCTCTATCTCAATTTATGAAGCACAGGTGAAAATTTGAGAGTCAACCAAAGTTTTAATATGTTTTTAAAAAATATTTTAAGTTATTAATTATTGTGATTTATAGTACTTTTTAAGTAATTTTTAAATAATATATGTTATCTATATGTCCCGATTTATGTGGCATATGTGAAATTTCGAGAGTTAACCAAATTTTCAAAAAATTGTGATTTATAATACTATTTTTTTATAATTTTAAATACGTAATATACTAAAAATTTAAGTAAGATAAATAAATTAGAATGAAGAATACACTAAATATAAATAAATAAAAATTAAAGCAGAAGAGCAAATCAATCAATTGACCGACTGATCCTAAGATGCTCTTAATATGACACGTATGAAATTAAGAGACTCAATTAAATTTTCATATTTTTTTTTACTATTTTTTTGGTTATGTAAAATTCTCTTAATTTATATAAAGATAAAATTGAAAGAATATCAAGATTATCTTATTAATTACATAGGACATCACTTATTTTAAAACGGAGTGAGTAATAAATACAATTTGTCGTTTTACTAACTAGTTTCTATTTAAGTAAATATTTTTTGAGAATTAAACACTTTGAAAAATATATAATTTTTATCTTGAATTTCTAAAATAACTCTATTTTAATATAATATTGTTATTAAAATAACACATATTTTTTAAATGAAGGGAGTACTAGTTTTCTTATATCAAGTCAATTTAAAAATTCCATATTTACGAAAAAAATATCTTCAACCCGAGTGGACTCCCTCTGTGTGGCAAAACAATTTTAGAAATTGTGTAAAATAACTAATTAACCCGTTTGTTCATTAATTTTGGAAGTATTTTTTTTTAAAAAAAAAAGGAAATTGATAAAATTTATTTAGCTTTTTGGAAATCAAATTCAAAAATTTGGTAAAAAAATTGTTTTTTTAGCAAAGTATACCTATTGATTTCTTTTTAACTTTAAAATTTACCCAAACTCGTATATTTTTATTTTAAAAATCATTCATTTATGACCCTTACTAACTTCTACGTCCTTTTTTACTTGTCTAATTTTAACTCTTTTACTTGTCATTTTTGGCAAGAATTTGGCCAGAAATTTTAAAAATCTATAATATCTTTTTTATTTTAAAATAAACTGATCTTTTTTCCCTTTTTTTAAATAAAAGGTATAAAAGTTTAAAGGGTAAAAATGTCCAAAAAGGTAAAATAACATAGGTAAAATACCATTCTGGCCAAAAGGATTTTTCCATCTTTTTATCTATTATACCTTCAATTTATTCAAAGAATTAATGTTTATGAAAAATATAGAACCTCTTTAATGAGTAAATTGATTTTTCAATTCAATTAATTAATAGGGGTAAATAGTAAACTCACTAGGTCAATTTTTTTTTTTTGAATAGGTGTGTCAATTCAAAAATGAACAAGTAAATAGAGACAGGGTATCTATCTTCACTGCTAGAAAATAATATAAAAAAATCCATCGTGAATTAATGAAAAATTTGTGTAAAATATTATTATTTTTTCTTCATTTTTCACTAAATTAGTACACTGAAAGATGCATTGTGGAAAATAAATTCTCCATACAAAAATATATTCTATTTTTTTTTCGTGTGACAACAATACTATTTTTCTCTCCAATTCAATCACAATATCTAAGAGAATAGCTACTAAACATTTTTAGTGAAAAAATTCAATGAGAAAAATGTAATTATTTAGTAGTTTCTTTTCAATCATCTGGTCTGAAAATGCATTCTCGTTGTGAAGAAATTATTCTTACAATATATTAGTTACTTCTATTGTTATTATTGATTTATTTCATATATGAATCTTCGAAATTAATTGTAATTTGACAAATTTTAGTAGCTAATTGTAATTTGACAAATTTTAGTAGCTAAGTGTGTTATTAATAATTTTATTAATATGTCGTGTATTATTTTAAGATAATTTTATTGTCTAGTTATTATAAAACTGATAATTTTCTGCCAAATTTATAAATATTTTTTTATAATTTTTAGAACTTATAAGGATTGAGGTATAAGTCATATTTCATATATTTCAAAGAAAAAAAAAAAGTGAAACATATTTGCAGAAAATATGACCAAATACATTTGAAACCTCCATCCAAACTTCACTCAAATATAATTTTTCAAAACTATTTATAAATCTATGATCAAACACTAGCTACATTTCTTCGACTTTAGCTAATTACATATGTAGGTAGCATCAATCAATAAGAAAATGCACATAGTAATAAATGAGTAGCTAACTCTTGCCCTCATTGCACTCAATATTCGAATTCTAAGTATAAGTATTGCTAATAAATATTACAAGCAATTGCACACACTAGGTAAAATACTCGTGAACATAAAATAAAGTCAAGTAACACACAAGGCAACATATATATGGCACATGTTTTTTTTTATGTATAACTAATATAATTATTAATTTATCTATTCTATTTGATAATATAGTATTAATAACATAAGTAGTTTTAATGTTTGTATTAGTATGATTAAAGACATAATTATCTTTCAAAAACTTTTTTACAACCTTTAATTTTCACCGTATTTGTAAAGGATATTTTTATAAATAAATTTTAAAAAAATAGAAACTATGCAATGTATATTATATTTAATACACCAAATCTAGCACTGCATTAGAAATAATCTCATTAACATAAGTATTAAGTAAGTATCAACATTATTATATATCATATTTACCATTATTGTTATACATTTTACCAAACACACCAAAGTCCCAAAATAGGAATATTGTTCACCAAATTCTCATTTGTGTTATAAATTTTAGAATATCATCAATTCTTTCAAAAAATGTTAGGATTTTGGGTGTTTTTTTATGATAAGTTTGGTATCTATATTCTTACCTACCCTATGCTTTTTAATAGTTTCTTGATGGTAAGTCACCTATAACCACCGGCCTTTTTCATGTTATATCTCTCGAGAGAGATCTCGAAGTGTACCTTGTACAAAGCCTACATATCTAGAGGCGATCATAATTTAAAATTTATGAATTCAAAATTTTAATTTTTTTATAAAGTTATTAGGTTCTATATTAATAATTTATACAAAAACAAAAAATTCCTTACGATATATTCAGAATTTGTATTAAAATTACTATGTTCGAATAGATGCAAACCAAACAATACCTCTGTAATAAACGTACGGACCTTTGATTAAATGCAATTGAAATTCTTATTATGTTATCAATGTATTAATTTTAAATGATTATAGTAAATGTTACTCTATCATGTTATTGGATTTGAAATGTAAATTATCAATTGTTTTCTATTAATTTGACCTAATAATATAAATAAACGTTTATATTACTGACGAATGAATGCACAAAATATGGCATGTGGTGTAATGTGTAAGTATACTCCCTCCATTTTATTTTATTTAATTCTTATATTAAAAATAAAATTTTAAATTAAATAAAATTTATCAATTTCTTTCAAAATTATTCTTATCATTAAATAATTGTACATAAAGTATTACTAGTAATCAAGTTTTTATATTTTTCAAAGTATAATTAATATGACTAATACTTTTTCCATTCATTCTCTTTTATTTGTTCACTATTTCGAAAATAGTTTTTTCACTTTTACTTGTTACTTTTAGCATATCAAGAAAATATAATATTTTGAATCTTTTAGTGAAAACTCCAACTCTATCACTGAATATAATCAGTAGCATGATAACTTACTTATATTAATTTCTATTTCCTAATTGGCATACAAAATAAACAAAAAACATGTAAATATAAATTAAAAAAAAGTATAATTTTTGTAAAAAAAAAGTATTATAGTCAATATGAATATAAAGTGGGAAACACATTAGCTGTTCCTTTTGCATGTTATTGATAATGACATAAAGTAGAGGGGACTCTTTAAGATTTAGTCATAATATGATTTCTTGGACGAAATCCCCTTTTCTCACATGTTCATTATTTGCCTTCTTGGTCAATTAACCTTATAACATTGACATTTAGTTACTATTTCGTCCATTCAATTTTATGTCGCATTTTTTTCAAATCTGTTTCAATAGAAATATCATTTTATTATAATTAAAATAAATAATTTATAATCACACAATTATCTAAAGATTGTTTTAGACTATAAATTTCAAAAATCATTCTTTTTTTCTTTTTAAACAATATGTTAAGTCAAATAGTATCACACGAAATTGGGCGGAGAGAGGATATTATTATTCCCATTGCTACTTGGCACATTTTTTGACAATAATTTCTATTAGTACTCTTTTCCATATGGTAGTTGAGCTATCTATCCTCTATTGGAACAACTCATTCCTAACCCCACCCCCTACCCCTTATGAAAACAAGATTACATACAAAAACAATGCTTCCTAGTAAATAACCTATTGTATCTATCTATCTATCTATTTATCTTTCTTGTATCCATTATATATGTAAGGTTACACCCACACACAACAAAACAAACCACATCAAAATTGTGTTGTCTTTCTTTGCCTTAATCAAAACATTTCCCACACAATACACTATTCTTTGCTTCTTCTTCAACTCTCTTTAACTTCATATATTTTTGTAGAAAATGGCAAATGAAAGTATAGACATGGAAAAAGAGAGACTAACAGCTGAGATGAATTTCAAAGATTCATCTTCAGTTGTTATTAAAATCCGGCAAAAATTGCCGGATTTTTTACAATCTGTTAAGCTCAAATATGTGAAACTTGGTTATGGTTATTCTTGTAACCCTCTCACACTTCTTCTTTTTGCTACAATTTTTCCTATAGTTACCTTCACTCTTATTCAACTATTAACGGGTCTAAAATTAGACCGGTTTTATGATACATTGACAAGTGATCCAACTTTACTTATAATTAACACTTCAACCGGTCTAACCGGTTTGATAGTGCTATTTTTTGTACTAGGGGTGTATTATGTAAAAAAACCTAGACCGGTTTATTTGGTTGATTTTGCATGTTACAAACCCGAAGATGAACGAAAAATATCTGTCGATTCGTTCTTGAATATGACAGAAGGAAATGGTGCGTTTGAAGACGAAACTATAGTATTTCAAAAAAAGATATCTCATCGTTCTGGTTTAGGTGACGAGACATATTTGCCTAAAGGAATCACATCCATCCCACCAAACCTCAATATGAAAGAGGCACGTGCTGAGGCGGAGGCGGTTATGTTTGGTGCATTGGATTCATTATTTAGTAAAACACAAATCAAGCCAGAGGAAATTGGAATTCTTATAGTGAATTGTAGTTTGTTTAATCCAACGCCTTCGCTTTCGTCAATGATTGTCAATCATTACAAGCTCAAAACTGACATCAAAAGTTATAATTTAGGTGGAATGGGATGTGGTGCTGGCTTAATTTCAATTGATTTAGCCAAACAACTATTAAAAGCAAATCAAAATTCATATGCTGTGGTAGTTAGCATGGAAAACATTACATTAAATTGGTATTTTGGAAATGATAGATCAATGTTGCTATGCAATTGTATATTTCGTATGGGAGGAGCAGCCATGCTTTTGTCTAACAAGTCGAAAGATCGAACCCGGTCTAAATATGAGTTGGTTCACACGGTTCGAACCCATAAAGGAGCAGATGACAATAGCTACAATTGTGTGTACCAAAGAGAAGATGATAAGGGTGTCGTAGGGGTGTCACTAGCTCGTGAACTTATGGCCGTAGCTGGTGATGCTCTCAAAACGAACATCACCACCCTAGGACCATCCGTGTTACCTCTTACTGAGCAATTCAGGTCAGAGTTCGTCATACTCTTATCTAAAAGTTTAAACTCTTCATATTTACTGTTCTAACATGTTATTTATTACATGGGGCCCTATTCTTTCTGATTGATCAACCACATGATAATTGATGGGAATAAGTCTGCTCTGATACCATTGATACCATGATAAAATATGTAATCATCTCATCTAAAAAGTTTACTCTGATACCATGTTAATTAAGGTGGGATTATTAGGTTTAACTAGACTCTTTTATTCTCGATGCATATAAAAAAAATCTATGCATATAATAAATGAAATCAAATTCATTCTGAACCTACTGACTTTAAATTCTGAATTCACATCTGATTCAGGTTTTTCATGACATTGGTGAAGAGGAAACTCTTGAAAGCTAAAGTGAAACCCTACATACCGGATTTCAAGCTAGCATTCGAGCATTTCTGCATACACGCGGGAGGAAGGGCAGTGTTAGATGAAATACAAAACAACTTAAGCCTAAGTGATTGGCATATGGAGCCATCAAGAATGACACTCCACAGGTTTGGTAACACGTCGAGTAGTTCGTTATGGTACGAGTTAGCTTACACAGAATCAAAAGGAAGGGTGAAGAAAGGAGATAGAGTGTGGCAAATTGCATTTGGTTCAGGTTTCAAATGTAATAGTGCAGTTTGGAAATCACTAAGGGTTATTGATAGTAATGAAGTGAATGCAAATGGAAACCCTTGGGCTGATTGCATTCAACGTTACCCTGTGAAAGTTGCCCTTGCCAAACAATAGAGGCTTAGACGATACTCGTCGTCTCAATTTATGTGACACTGTTTGAATTTCGAGATTCATATTACTTTTTTTTTTATGTGGATTTTTAATATGTTAACTTGTCAATTATTGTGAATTACTGTACTTTTTACATTGTTTCCAAATATACGTAAATTTTATTTTTGAAAAAAAATATTTAAGATTCCGCATCATAATCCATAGTCAAAGTAATAATATTTGACTCTTGAGGTCCGAACAGTAATACTACTATATAAGTTGAGAATACAATTAACTAATATAAAAGTGTGCTCTTTCTAACATCTTAAACTTTTAGATGAGATGGTATCAGAACAAAACATGCAGAGATGAGATGGTCACATATTTCAACAATGATCAATATTTGGTTAAATTGCAAGTTTTTAGTTTCATTTTTTTTATATATAGTAAATTAAAAGAGAATCATTCTTGTTCACGTAAGTCTAGTTTCAACTTTGGGTGGGCAGCTTGCTACAACTATATTTATGAGTTCATTTGACCCAATGATAAATTCAATTATACCCATTTTTGGGTAAATAATGATAGATAAATTAAATGTGAATATAAAAGATGTTGATTGAATTGAATGAAATAATGAAATTCGTAAGTTGTTGCTTTAGTTGATGATTTAATGGTGGCTTTATCAATTTTGGATTAATTTCTCTTATACAATTACCATTAACGGTTGTGATCAAATGGTTTAATTAGAGATTTATTTAAAATTCTAAGGTATAAAAAAGTAAATCCTAATGGATCTTGCATGTGAATTCAAATTAATTGGATTCTAAATTATTTGCAAATTCAAATTATATATTTTGACCAGAGTCTCTCAATATATCTAACACCAAATTTGGCACATAATTAAGAGAGAAATATTGAAAACGCTCTTAAACTTGGCAAAAATTATTAGTTTCATCCCTAAACTATTGATAGCCTTAAAAACACCCCTCTACTTGACTAATTGAACTTAAATATATACTAATCTTTCCCGATGGGTGAAAGACAACTAAATTCTCGTCAAGTTTAAGGGTGTTTTCAACACTTCTCTCGACTTTTATTAAAAATCCCACGCTAAAGAGTTTGAGACCACTTGATATGCCACATGGTAGACCATAGGTGTATTTAAGTTCAATATAGATAGGTGCTTTTAAGGTTGTCAGTAGTTTAAGAATGAAACTAACAATTCATGCCAAGTTCAAGGGTATTTTTAATACTTCTCTTTATAATTAACAAATATTGAGATAATAGGTAATTATTTAAAAACATAAATTGAATTAGTCAATATGATAGGGATTATATCTTATTATATAATTTTTCCAAAAAAAATAAATAGAAACTCATACTTATCAAGTGGACGTAATATTAAAGATAATGGACACACAACACTTATATATAATTACATATGCATTTATTTCTTGAATTAATGAAATGTAACTTCTTGATAAAATTGGTAGTTGGGACAACAAGAAAATGATAGAAAGCAAGAAACCGAATATATAGCTTTCTAGAATTAATGAGATTCGACACTCTTGAGGTGTCAAAGTTATTCGTTTGATCAATCGGTATTTTGGTAAAGGGTGAAAATTATTTACTTCAATTTTGATCTTAAAAATCAAACTTCCTTTCAATTTTGAACATAGTTAAATGATTTTTTTTAGGATAATTTACCTAAATTCCATAGTATTTAGAGCTAATTACAGTATTTTTCCTATTATTTTTCAAATTATAAAAATTCCTTAAAATTTATGGATTTCAGATATATTTGGACTTTTAGATACATTAGCAAACATCTACATACATAGGTTAAGGATGTATCTGAGGGGGGAGGGATGTATCAGAGTGGAGATAAGACATACTAATACATCAGTGGACTTTCTGATACATCAACAGACCTCCGGATACATAGGTGAGAGATATACCTGAGGGGGAGGGATGTATCCGAGAGGGGGATAGGGATGTATCAGCGAGTGAAGAGTGATGTATCCAAGAGGGGGATAGGGATGTATCAGCGAGTAGAGAGTGATTTGAAAAGAAAAAAAAATGGCAGGAAATTTCAGAGATTATGGTAAAAGAAGATGGGTATTTAAGTATTTTTTCCAAATATTTATCACTATTCTATGCAATATTTATTTTATTCTTGTCATTTCAATCTTTCATATATGTAACAATTTTTTTATATTATATAATTTTTTTTATTTTTAACCCATGTATTTATTAATTTTTACTTAAGTTCATTAATATTATAAGTAAAATAAATTTTTTATAAGTTTGTCGCAAGCTCTATTTTATTTTTTTATGATTACTATTTTAATATTACATGTATTAAGTAAGTATGTATGTATCATAAGCATGCATATTTAAGTTTCACATATCTTTAATTGTCTACTATTTATATAGATAAATAAATTTTGACTGTCATTAATGAAATTTCAAATAACTAATATTACTTACACTATAAATAGATAATATTTTAAGAATTCATTACGAAATATACCTTTACTTTTTTGTATTACTTGCATCAAAATTTATTTATAATTTTAGATTATTATTATTATTAATAATAATAATAATAATAATAATAATAATAATAATAATAATAATAATAATAATAATGATTATAATAATAATAATGATGATAATAATGATGATGCTGATGGTGGTGGTGGTGGTGGTGATGATGATGATGATAATATTGCTTTTGGGATAAATACGCTTGTAGTTGTGCGTATAATGGATTATTTTCTGGAATATCGTCCAAATGTATCGAAGATCCATTTCTTAAGTTATACAACGAATGGGTAGATTGATATGAAGTATTTCGGCATAGATATACTCTCTTAATCATGGATTTAGGAGATAAATTTTATAAATTACATTCTCAATTTGAAGATATGTATATTAATACTATTACTTCCAATAATGTGATAGAACTTTCAAAAGAAGTTACTGATAACACATTGCGTGAAAAGATTATTCAGCTTGCTGCTAATAATAAGGCTAGCTCATCTAATGTTGTTGAAAAATAAAAAAATGAGCTTGAATATCTGAGATTTTATCTAAATATGAATAAATTTATGTATAGTTTCTTGACTTGGTTCCGAGATGGTGGTACAGTTAGATTCAATACAACAAGTTAGTGGCTTTGTCTTAGTGACTCCGTCTAGCCAGCCGTGGTCTCAGCTCGATAAGGAGTAAAAGGGTGCCTTATACCCGGTTAGAACTGCTAGACACACGGGCTCACTAACAATACGTATTTGAATCTCGACAGACCCTTTGCTTGGGTAAAAGGATTAGATCCTTCCATACAGCCATTAAACTATATAAAAATTTGTATGTATTTCGATTCAGATTTCTTCCTTAATTAATAATAATAATAATAATAATAATAATAATAATAATAATAATAATAATAATAATAATAATAATAACAATAACAATAACAATAACAATAACAATAACAATAACAATAACAATGTAATGACCCGGAAAGTCATATTTGAAGTTTTTATAAAATTACCATTTTACCCCTCCCGATAGTTGCCGCGAGTGATTCATGATCAGTCGGTGAAGTTGATTTTAAGAATTTTGAACTATTCGATAAATATGATTATTTAATTGATAGATATTTATTAAATAATTGATTTATTTAGTTATTGGGTAATGGGTCAAGTCCATAATTCATTTAGTGACCCATGTAAAATAAATTAAACCTAAATTGTGAGAGAGAACCGTACAGTTGGTGCGACATCAAGTCACAAAGTAAAAAGAGGACTTGAGCAGTGAATCCTCTTCCTTCAGGTAAGAAATCTAACTAAGCTTTTATGATGATTTTATATATATATGTTTGCAAGTGAAAGAGTTAAAAACCAAATAGTCCAATTGGTTAACAAACTTTTTCCACTAATAATCATGTATGTGGCGTTAGTTCTGATGGGAGGAAAAGAATTGAATATTTAAATTATGTATTCCATTGGAATTTGGTCTTTAAAGGATAAGTTGGAGTGGGAAATATTTTGACATATTGATAGCTAATAATTGGTTAGTTTTAGATAGCAGTAAATTGTGTTAAACTGTAGTGAGGCTCTACAGGTGTAACGAGTTGGTTTTTAAGTTTCTCCAATAATGGTGTTTCAAATTAACTGCCTATAGAACTTTATCTCTTTGCTCCTGATTGAGATAATTGTCCCACCAACCTTTCAATTGGCCAGTAAAACCTACAGTTATCATATCTGCAATAGTCTTATCACTATTCTTATTGGTTTTACAGATAGTACTGTACATAAGCATACGATGGACAGTTGTATAAATTTGTCTATCAGTATAACCATCAATATTCCATTCATAAATTTCCTTTCCATTATAACTATTAGTTATAATATGTCCATGTTCCTCTAACAGAACATCTTGAGGAGTGGGTCTAGGATAGTAGTACATCCTTTGGACTGGCTTTCTCGCATATCTTTTTGAGATTTTATTAACCTCATCAGAAAATTCTATATTCTTACTAGATTCTCCTTGTAAGAAATTCTCTGCATTAATAGGCTGGGCTCCACTTCCCTTGAATTTCTTTTCTAAAAAATTCTCAAGATCTGAATAATCTTTAAGCTTGAAATTATCAATTTCAGGCGGAGGTTGTAAGCTACTATGAACAACATTTTCTTTACCTTTTACCTTAGTAGGTAATAGAGAAATAATTTTATCAATCTTTTCATGCAAAGAGGCAATATGCTCACCTAAAATGCTCATATAAATACTTGCATAATTATTTTGTTTAATAATAGCATTAACATGACTAGTAGTCACTAAAGCCGTATCATTTTCAAACAATTTTGAAAAAGCATTAAAATTTACAATTCTATCATTTTTATTGATTGGAAGAGACTGTTGTGGAGGAAAAATTGATTTCGTAATTTCTCCATTGCTTAGAGTGAAATCTTTCTCTAGCATAGAAATATAGTTATGAACATGTTTACACATAAACCAAGGAACAAAAGCAATCAAT